GATGGTTTTCTGAAAATATAGGCTGAGAAGGGGAGCTATTGGAGGTGTCTTGTTTAATATGCATTCCTGGAAATATAAGCACCACATAATAATTTCCAGAGTGGTACAAATGTTCTGCCTTGTATTGGAGATGTTCCTGAGTGCATAATGACAGAAGCTTTTGTCATCTGTGCATTACCACTTCAGTCCAGGTAGGAATTAATGCCTCTGGAAAAAGACTATTATAATGCGACATGATACGGAGCAATCTCTCAGCAAATTGTAGGGAATATGACAGTACATCATGGCACAGAGGAAGGAGCACAGTACAACGAAATGCAAAATGATGGTTAATACACCTTCTCTTTCTTTCTGCATTAAAGTCAGGGAAATGAGACTCAGTGGGTTGGCTACTTTGCATTGGATATATTTACTGTTCACTTCATGTCTACTAGTGGTGCTAATCTGTCTGGCCATTTTTGAAAGTGAAGTGTAGCAAGGCAATTTCAGGCTGTATCAACAGAATTATAGTGCCCAGATCAAAGTAAGTCATAGTCTCACTCTATTCTCCTTTGGTCAGACTTCACTTCAAATCTCACAGTCAGTTTAAGAAGAATGGTGACAAGTTGGAACCAAAATAGTAAAAAATCTAGAAAGCAAACACCTATCAGGGATGATTGAATAAAAAGAGGTCACAAGAGTTCATTTGATAGTTAAATTTTAAAGGCTGTCATGTAGATCAGCAGTTCCAAAACTTTGGTGCTCTAAGTGTTTTGGACTTCTGCTCCCATAATTCCTCATGGTTGGCCAAGGTGGCTGGGGCTTCTTGGAGCTGATGACTAAAATACCTGGAGGGCCAAAGTTTGGGAACCACTAATGTACCTGATGGAATTAGTTTGCTTTCTGCTGTTCCAGAGGGTAAGATCTCAAGCAATGGAAACAAATGATCAGAAAAGAGATTCTGAATAAACATCCAGAAAACTTTCTAATGGGGTGGGGGCTGTTCAACAGTGGAATGATCTATCTCAGTAGGTGATGGACTATTCTTCAGTTGAGGTTTTTAAACAAATATAAGATGACCACTCGACAGTAGTGTTTCATCAGTTGTTGTCAGAGACCTGGAATAAATGGCCCTTGAGGGCCTTTCAACTCTATTTTTGTATTATTCTATAAAGGTTCCACTATGGTGCTGAACATATTCTGATCTTTTTGTAATGTATCTTCTGGGCCTAATCTGAAAGGCAGGAGATCTGATAAGTATTAATGCATTTGTGTCAATGATTCTTGGCCTTCAATGCTGTTCCTTCATGAAATCCATTCCTGAATCATCATCAGAACATCATCAGATAGTGCATGAAACACTTCTCAGACATAGCCCTTCAGTTATACTTTCATTTGCATTTAGCAGGACATGCACATATTTCACAGGTGGGATTCTGGAGACAATGGCCTTTGGACTTGCATTGACAGCACAATGTGTGTGCTTTATTTCAAAGCTAACCAAAGGATAATAACTGACATCCTGTATTGCAGATATCAAACTCTATAACATAGAATCAGTATGTAGACAGATTTTGTAGCACCTTTGAGATTAAGGGGCTCTGCAGACGGCGCAAAGTGCCATCTTGGAGCCAGGGAAGAGGAGGGCCAGCTGGACCCCAGACACCCCAACACCTTGCTGAAGACATCATCAGAGTGCCCACCATTGCACACGCTGAGTGCTCAGATGACATCCTTCTGGCGCAGCATCTGGACACACTGGGCCAGACGAGATGAGGAAGAGATGTGTAGCATCTCTTTGGGGGCCCCTTCTGCCCACTCTGGAAGGAGCACTGTTTTAGCATTCCTTCCAGAGCCAACAGAAGGGTGGATTGGGGCTGAGGTGTGGGGCAGCCTCAGCCCCAATCTTCTGCTTTTCAGGGCGGACCACAGCCTCCTGCCTGCAAAGCCCCTAACTAAAATAAAGAAGTTGGCAGCATGAGCTTTCATAGACTTCAGTCTACTTCCTCAGATGCATATTCACATACTGATTCTACATACTAAGGGCCTCTGCAGATGGGCCCTTTGTGGCATGTTGGAGGCAGGGAAGGGGAGGGGCTGCCGTATGCTGGCTGCCCCAATCTCTCCCCGAAGACGTCCTGATGCCATGTGCCCTTATGCACAGCGCGTGGCATCAGGACTTCCTCCCGCCGTACCGTCCTCATGCGCTACACCGGAAGAGACAGAGAAGAGCCGCCCAGTGACTTGGGGGCGCTTTTTGCCGCCTTTAATAGGAGCAGCATTTTGCCACTCTTTTAATAGGTGGCAAACAGGAGAATTGGGGCTGCTGTGTGCCCTGATCCTCTGCTTCCCGGTGCAGCCCAGGGCCACCCATCTGCATCCCCCCAACACAGCTATATCTTTGAATTCTATAAGATAGAGTTATAGATCCATAGATGCACTGTAATCAGTTATACTGTTCTACGTTTTCACAACTTCGTACCATTGCCTCAATTGTAAATCCCTAAATCCTGACCTCAAATCCCACAAACTCCAGGGAGCCACTCAGAGTGAAGGAAGTCTGTTGTGATGGTTACTGGGGCACAAAGGAATCATGTTTCTAGCCTTGGCTCAGTCAGGTCTGTGACAATAAGAAGTATGTGCACAAGAAAACATCACTGCACACCTGTGCAGGAACATATCCCTGCACACCTGCACAGGACCTGTCATAGGCTAGTATACAGTCTGTCATTCTCTGTGTACAAAGGTGACTGAAGTTTGGCATCCCTGTTCACTTGCATAGGACCTGTTATAGGGTGGTATACAGTCTGTCAATTTTGTCTGTAAAAAGGTGACTGAAGTTCAGCATCCCGGTGCACCTGTGTAGGACCTGTCATATACCCACAGATCATGCAAGGATTCACTGACCTCAGCTTTCCCCAAGGAGTGGGTGCAGTAGACAGGTGCTACTGTCTGATTGTGCCACCCTTGGGATGAAGGAATGAGTTTGTCAACTGAAAAGACACCTACTCCATTGTTCTCTACAAAACATGTCCCACACAGATCAGGGGGGAGGGGAGAGGTACATGCAAGGGAGGTTTGTGTAAATAGACTTGATACATGCAGCTGGTGGTCATGCAAGGAACATGGTCAACGGGACACATGGACAAATGTTACTCCAGGAGCCCCCTGCCCCAGCATGCCAGGAAGTGGTGTGCAGGTGTCATGCACACTTGCACACCTGCACACCTACACAGAAGAGGTCACAAAAGCCTCTTTCATACAAACTGCTATGCATGATGACAGCAAGCATACATGCAACAGAATGTATTTATTATCATAACAGAGGACAGTTGCTAGGGTGCATGCGTAGGGTTAAGGTTAGGGTTAGGGTTAGGGTTCTAATGTTGAAGTGCACCTGCACCAGTTCATCTACCTACACCTAGAAGCGTAGGACACTTTAAATTAAAGCCCACATCATAGGGCACATGCTCTGGATCGCTGTCAATTTCCACCACACGTGTGGCAGTGCATTTATACAGCCGTTTTCTGGTGCACAGGTGTCACTGCACACATACACACATGCGCACCTTCACCAAAGGAGAGGAAAAAAGTGACTTCTTTTTGGAGAGGCTTTTTCGGCATATGACAGCTAGATGGCTCTTTCCTGATGATTTTTTAGGCATGCGTCATCTAAACACCATGCCTACAAGTCACCCTCAAAGCCTCTTTTTGCCCATCTGCTTAGCCCCATAGGATCCTCTCATCATCTTCCTTTAGCTTCCTTCTTTGGCTCCCTGGGGAACAAATTTTTCTGCAGGTTAATTTTTTACCCTCCATTTTCCAAACACACCTAAACTACAGTGGAATTGTCAGGTGCTTGTTGTTTACAGCCACTGAAAAGAGGATTATCTTGTTATTGCTTTTTTCTTTTAAGCAAAGCCTGGACAATCTGGCTACCTTGTTAACACTGTTAACACTCCAAGTAGAACAATTGTTCCAGCAGAAATCTGTTCAGCCCTTCCTCCATCTTTTCATATGCGAACAACATTTTAGAGATATCTAGGTGGAAGACCTTTGCATACCCCTAATTAAAATGGTTGTTTAATCAACATAAATAGATTCCACTTTGAAAGGTTCCATTGCCAAGAAACAGGAATTTCCAAATATATTCATTGTAGCTATGGTAGCTATGAATGCAAGAGCTTAATTAATATGAAATTCCAAGTATTCTTTTTCAAACTTATGAAATACACTGGGAGCACCAGATAGTGTGCCATTCCTTAAGCAATTCAGCTGGAATCCTAGTTACTGTCTAGATAGAATACTGAAGCCTTGTATACATGACAAAAAATGTGGTTAAATTCCAGTTGATTAGTCCCAACTAAAGAAGATTCATTGAATTAATTAATTAGTCAAGATGATGATGATGATGATGATTCCATCTTCCTCCTGATATAGGGACTCAAGCCAATTCACCACAAATTTAAAACCATACAAATTAAAACAATAACAAATACAAAACAATAAAAATATTTAAATACAGTGGTATCCCTTCCCCTGGTGGATACCAAAATCAATGGATGGTCAAGTCCCATTAAATACATACAATAGTAAAATGGAACCCTTTATATAGAATGACAAAATTAAAGTTGCCAAATTTAGGCCTTCCCTGAATAACATCCTGGCCCAAAGAAAAGTATAAGGTGATGACAATAATTCCAGCTCTTTTGTTGCTAAGCTGCTATTTATTTGTACTTGTTGTTTTCTTTTATTTAGTATTTTAATCTTGCTATATTTTAATATATTTTAAGGGGTGGGTGGGTTAGGGAAAGGGTTGTTTGACTGTTTTAATTGGCAATGTTGTTTAAATCTGCTGTATGCTGCCTTGATTGTGCTGCAGAGAGGCGGCATAAAAATAAAAAATATTATTATCATTATCATTAAAGTTTGATTTTTTGGAATTGATATCTTTTAACAAATACTTTCAAAGCATGGGTGGTTGAATCTGTGGATATAAAAAATATGTGGATATGGAGGAGAGCTAGTGTGGCATAGTGGTTTTAGCACTGCAGATTATGACTCTGGAGAACAGGGTTCAAGTCCCAGATCAGCCATGAAACCCACTGATGATCTTGGGCAAGTCACACTCTCTGAGACTCAGAAGATGGCAATGACAACTCCTCTCCCCCTTAAGAAACTTGCCAGGAAAACCCCATAATAGGATCACCATAACCTGGAAATGACTAGAAGGCAGAAAACAACAAGGATCAAATGTATAACTTTAAAAAAATGGTAAAGTTAAAAGCATTGCACATTAAATTAGTAAAATATATGTGTAGGTAAATCCAATTGATAAAAGCAATGTGCTCTTGGTGTTGTATGACTATGACTCATTCCATGCTGGTGAAGTGGTTAAATGTCTGTACTGCAGCCTCACTTGTGGTCTACTCACTCATAGACCACAAGGTTGCGAGTTCA